GCCCGGGTGGTAGAGAGCTTTACTATCTCTAAAAAAGCCTCAATGTATTCAGTACCATATTGTGTCTAAGTACTACTGTATGAATCCTTCCAGTTCCAGCGAAAAAAACATTCTCGTCAACATCTAAAGACAGCAGCGCCAATGATACGCTAAAGGACATCTGCCCAATTCCTCTACCATTACTATGCTACTAAGCTATAGGTTACTAGTTCAAAACCAGCCAATATCTCTCAACCTTCACTCGGCCACAACTTTTACCATTACTAGTTCAAAACCAGCCAATATCTCTCACAGAGAGGGGCCTGCAGGAAAGTTCAGAGGCCCCAGAGGCACGGCAGGGTAAGTCAGCCGTCGGAAGGGCACGGTGCAAATTAATTGAACTTTCAGGGGCATATCGAAAATTTTCCCTCTTTTTTTTTATGTGATTGTGGGCCTTTGAGGCTATATTCTGCTCAGCTATTGTTATGGCAATGTACCTTCCTGGGCAAGCTTGGCGCCCGCCATCTAGAGATATGTTGTTGGGCCCCCTGAGTGGCATTGAGCAAAGAGTGCTGATGTTCATAGGGGGAGGGGACCGGAGGGGAGGCACAGTGACTGGCCCATCGAAGAAGCTCGGTCCTGATGCTACCGGCTGACCCCTAGCTGGTATCGCCCACCTGCTGTAGCAGGTATCGCACCTGCTGGTGGGTGCAGCTCCCGCATGTTCCCTCGTTGAAGGCTTGAGCAAAGGCACCATCATTGACAAATGAGCTGGGAAGAAAAAATCAATTTGTGGCTGCTACGGGGTTCCCCGTAATACTATAATGACAATAAAAACGGCCTGAAAGGCCGTCCTGTCCAGATTTGACAGGTAATTGAATTGGTTGGGCTTAAAGAATTAGCCTTAAAAAAATATATATATAAAAAAAATATATATATATATATAAAATATATATATATATAAAAAAAAAAATGTTTCAATCTTTTTTTTTTTTTTTTTTATCTTCGAATTTATGACGAATTTTTTTATTTTTTTTTTAAGATGCCTGCCATCTGGCAGGCATTTGTCTTTTTATATGAAAGGATGGTTGGGATTACAATTCCTACCATATCAGTATTATCAACCGATCAGGGGCTTTGCCCGCTGATTGTAGATACGTAACACTGTTGTGTTGTGGCGACGGACGCAATTCCATACGAGTAAAGCGCTGGAGACGAACGAGGAGAGTACATCAACAAGCGTCGACTTCTGGGAGAATAGATAATGGACTTCTCGCTGCGATTGGTATCGCCTGGAGCTGTTGGCGAATTGCTGACACAGGACTTCAGCCTCGACCAGGGTTTGTCCACTCTAGCCGATGCTCCTGCTTCGGACGTGGTGTTGCTCACTACTTCTTAGTCTTTGGATCTTTGACGGGTTATTGATTCCGTTTATGAATGACACGACTGTTAGACTAACTGTTAGGCGATATAGGTTTGGAATGGGTTTTTAGTGGATACCCATTATGGGTGATTGTGGTGTATACAGCGGTGATGTTGTGGACTGTCGGATGGTTGGTTTTGGTGTTACGGATTGTTGGACGGTTGGTTGTGGTGTTGCCCGTTTGCGTTATCGCCTTACTGGCTGTGAAAAAGTGCGGTAACGGTCCTCATCGGGTGCGACTTTGGATCTTCAGTTGCTTGTGTGGGATTTCGACTGGCTTTGTGGCAATTGGGTTGTTTACCTTGCGATGATTGTCGACTCACTGCTCTAACTTGGTATCCGGTGATAGCAACTTTATCGGTGGGTTTGAAGTAGGGAGAGAGAGAAAGAGACGACTCATTACTCTAATTACGTATTCGGTTTAGTAATTTGATTGGTTCTTTGGAAGTATAGCATACTAGAATTGATTTTCGGGAGTTGTGCTCGTTTTTGATGACTGGTTAGTAGTAATTAGGGTTTGGGTATTAGATAGGGTTTGAGTAATTTTAGTGGTTTGAGTAAACTTGAGTAATCTTCGATTGGTTTTGGCCTTGGGAATTGGGATAGCATAGGTTTGACCTCTATAGGGAGGGTGATGGTTCTTTTCTTTGTGCTTAGGCTTTTGTTCCTTTTAGCAACGTGGGATCTGATAGTACTGGGGGGGTCGGGGTCTCGGTAGCTAGATGGCTGTGGGTGGGGATAGGGTTGGTCGGAAGTGCCTTTCTTAGCCCATGATGGCTGCAGCATCTATGTGAGGGACGCCGGGCCCGTTTCCCGGTTCTTAATGAAGTTGCATTTGTTTAAAAAAAAAAATATATATATATATATACATATATATATATATATATACATATATGGATTCTCTCACAGGAGCCACACAATAGATGTTTTCGCTCTCAAGAAGAAGAAAAAAAATAACGATAAAAAAAAAAAAA